ATTAGGCTGGGAAGAGTTGAAGCCAAATTCTGCTATATGGTCATTCATTCCTGGGGTTGTTATTTGGACCGTTTGGAAAACCAGAAATTTAATTGTTTTTGAAGGGGGGAAGTTGGATCAGATTGAATTATTCTTTTTAGCAAGAGTCAGGCTGGCATCTTGGTTCCTAGCTAAGTATAAGGATATCTCTATTCCTAAAGACTCGTTGATTTCGGACCCTTCAATAGGGGATTCCCATTCGTCCTACAAGTTCCTGAAGTCTTCTAATGTTCCCTGGTGTCCTCCTCCTATAGGCTTCATTAAACTGAATGTGGATGCTGCCACTAGTAGTGATTGGAAGAAAAGTGGGTTGGGAGGCATTTTAAGGGATCATCTTGGTGCAATATTAGGATCTTTTCAGGAGTCAGAAGGTCCGGCTCCTCCAACTTTGAAGGAACTTAAAGCTATTCAAAGGGGACTTGTTTTCGTCTCATCTATCCAAGGGAGGGAAAAATTCCGTTTGATTGTTGAGAGTGACAGCAGGGTAGCTGTGGACTGGATTATTAAAGTTGATTCTTGTCCAGCTGTAGTCATAGAAAAGAGCAGTGATATCTTCTAATGCTTCTGCAACCGTGCTTCTAATTCTCGACGTGGTGCTCTGTGTTTTCGAACTGCAACTACTTTTGCCACTGCAGCTGCATTGTTTGTCCACAGGGAAATTGTTGCCTGCCCTTATTTTAGCAAGACATTTCCCAGTCAATATATTGCTGATATTAATAGTAAGATGAGAGAGAGTGTCAGGGAGAAAGTGGGAGAGAGAGAGAGGTTTTCAGTTGGTCAGTTTTCCGGTGAGGAGTGGACGGTTTTCGTTGACAATCTGAGTAAAAGGGTAACTAGGAAAACTCTTAAGGAAATTTTTCATCAACAGGGGAGTGTTGTTCGTGTCTACATTCCGAATAATTCCAACAAGCCGAATTATAGAAATTATACGTTTGCTTTCGTCCAGTTTGCTAATGAGGATGGGTTGTTGAGGGCGATAGCAAAAATTAATGGTATCTGGATTGATGGTAAGAAAATATCAGTAGGAGTTGCTAAGTACCAGAAGAAGAGACTAAAGCAGGCTGTTAGAAGTAACGACAGTAAGGAAGTTGATAAGTGGGAAAAGGATACGCATCGGAGTAGAAGAGCTGGACCAGAATCTTATAGCCGACTGAGAGATGAGAGATCTTACAAGGAGGCGTTAGCGTCTTTGGATGGAAGGAGAGAAGGTCCGGCGTCTAAAGTGATTTGGGAAGGCCATAAAGACAAGGAAGTAGGGGTGAGGAATTTGTGGGAAATGCATATTCCCCCAGACGAATATGATTGGGTGAAAAGATCAATAACTGGGATCATTAAATCCCATTTTGATCTGGGGACAGTAGTGAAGGGGTTGGCTAGTAAAGGGATCAAGGTCAAGGGAACTAAATGGGGTTATACCTGGAACTCTTGCATTATAACCTTTGGGTCGAAGGAAGAGTTCGAGGAGGCGTGGAAAAACAGAAGGGATGAAGTGTCACTTTGGTTCGACTGGCTTGATCCACTTATGAGTGTAGATGGAGTCCCGATGGCTTTCTGTTCAGTGGAGTTGCATGGAATCCCTTTACTATGTTGTAATGGATCTTTTTTGGAAAAGCTGGTCTCAAGGTGGGGGAAATTGGTGTGTATTCATGAGTCCACGATCAGAAGAGAGGATTTGGCGGTGGCAAGAGCTTTGTTGAGGGTGGCGAGTCCTTATGATATACAGGATTCTGTTACCTTGGGTGCATATGGGAGATCGTATAAGGTTAAGATTAGTGTGGGATCGGTCAGTTATAAACAGGAGAGTTTTTTTGCAGAAATTCTTCAGGTGGCCGGAGATGGTGTGTCTAGAGTTGATTCTTCATCGGAAGAGAAAGAAGTCCGGAGTTCAGGTGGAGTAGGTAGCCCACAATTGCCAGCTGAGAATTCTAGGGACACAGTAGACAGATGGTTGGTAGGTGATGTCTGCACAACAGTGGCAGGAGGCAGTGGAAGTAAACATTTAATACTGCAGGAAGGAGAAAGTCAACCTAGTGGTGCTAAGGTGTCAGGTTTTTCTGCAGAAGATTTGAATTTTAAAGAGGACTATAGGGGCCTTGGTCTAAGGAATGTCTCTATTAATGAATTTGAAGAAGCCCATTTAGAGGGCTCAAGTGAGTCCAATACAAATATCTACAGAATAGTACCTTCTGGGCCAGCTGTTAATTTATTAAAACTGGGATATGGTAACCGTTTGGAGTCTCGGGTGGAATTTGCAGGTTCTCAGCAGCAATCTGATTCAGATAAAATAAAGGTGCAGAATTGGGCTAATGTCTCGGCAGACTTAAATCCAAATTTGTTGCCTGCTGGGTCTTCACAATCTAACAGGGAGTATGATTCACCAGCTAATAATCTAATTCCAGGGGGCATGATGTTAAATTAAGTAGGATGGAGGTTCAAGGAGAGTTTCAGCATTCTGTTTTGGTAGACTCAAAAATGCAGAATTCGAATACTGATTTGTCAGGTTACAAACATATTTCGATTGAGGGTGGGTTCAATAGAGTACAGTCTCAATCTGAAGGGATCTCAAATAAGCCAAATAAGGATCTGTTAGAGGAAGTAGTAGTCTTGGAAAAGGACGATTGTAGGGGGGTTGGAACTGAACTGATTAGGGATAGAGACAGATCGTTGTTCCAGCATAGAAGAACATTTTGGCCCAAAAGTTTGCCCATAGAGAGGAGGAGAATGGCCAGCTATAAAAGACATTATACCAGGTCGAGGGTGAGAATTAACTGGTTTGAGAATAAACACAAAGGTATTCCGGTGAGAAAGGATTTGCAGCCTCCTTCAATAAATATGGAAGGTGGAAGGGAAGTGATTTTAAATGGTGCAGCTGATGATCAGAACCCTTATGTGGCACCAACTAATTGTAATAGTTCTTCGGAGGTCTTGGCAGTAGTTCCTTTCTCTGCTGTAGGGTCAGAAAGGTCTAAAAGAAGGGAGAGAAGAGTTTTAACAAGGGAAGCAGTTGATATGGTTAATTCTCCTTTAGTTTTTACTCCTCAGTTCTCGAAGGCGGTTGAGGAAGCGATGGTTACATGGGAAGTATGTAAAGTTCTAGGAATTTCTTTCAAAGATGGGAAGAAGGCTTTTTTGGACAAAATTATCAACCTTGAAGAGGGTTCGGCTGAGAGTAGGGAACAGGGGAAGTCAGGGGTTTAGTCTCTATTTCTCTGGAGACTAGCTATAAGGATTTGGTGTAGATCTTCTTGATATGATAAATGTCAACATTATTTCTTGGAATGTAAGGGGTCTTGGAAAAAAGGAAAAGTCAAGAGTGGTAGCTAATTTGGTGAAGAAGAATAAGCCGAACTTGATTCTAATTCAAGAAACAAAACTAGAATCTGTTTCTTTGGCTCTTAGAAGAAGGATAGGGGGGAGATTCCTTAGAGGAGGGATTGTTGCGCCAGCAGTGGGATCTGCTGGTGGATTGATGATTATGTGGAATGAAAATGATTTTGAAGTTTCGAACACCCATCTTAATGGCAGATTCATAGCAGTCTTGGGAAGTTCAGAAATTCAAGTGAAGAGTGTCTGATTATCAATGTATACGGTCCATCAATTGAAGCAGAAAAGGAAGATTTTTTCAGGGAATTGTTGGAGTTTGTTTCGGCTCAAAATATGTTAGTGTGTATTGGGGGAGATTTTAATGTGTATCTTGATCCGGACGAGAAGATGGGAAAATCACAAAACTGGCATTCTATTGATTTATTTAGAAACTTCTTACAGCAATCACATTTAATTGATCTACCGTTGGTGGGAGGAAGGTATACTTGGTGCAATAATAGAGAAGACTCGACTTGGGAAAGACTAGACAGGTTCTTAATCTCTGGGACGTTTCTGTCATGTTTTCCAAATGTAGTGCAAAGTCTCTTGCCTAAATCCCTATCTGATCATAATCCTGTCTCATTAGAGGACAAAGCTGTTAATTGGGGACCGAAACCATTCAGGTTTTTTAATTATTTACTAGAGGAGGAAGGATTTGAGGAATTGGTTAAATCTTCAATGCTTGCTATGAGGGGGAGAAATAATAAAAGGGGTATTTTCAGTATCTTAAAAGGTACTAAAAATTCAATCAGAAATTGGTCCAGCAGTAAATTTACTGGGATCCCTGAGTCGATTTCTGATTTAGAGAGGAAAATTAATGAATTGGATCTTAAAGCTCAAGGTGGAATTCTTTCGAAGCAGGAGTGGGATCAGTTGAGGCTGTGTAGGACAAATCTATGGAGGTTGTATAGGACAGAAGAAAGCATCTGGTTTCAGAAGTCAAGGGCAAGATGGATCAAGGAGGGGGATAGGAACACAAGGTTTTTTCATCTGTCTGCTCTGAACAGAAGCAAAAGAAATGAAATCTTAAGCTTGAAGATAAATGGGAGTGTGGTTTCAGATCCTCAACAATTAAAGGTACATATTTCAGAATTTTTCAAGGCAGCCTATAATTCCAATTCAACATTGGAAACGGAGGATTTACTACTGGATTTTGCTAAGCTATCAGGGGATCAGTCTAAGAAGCTTGAAGAGCACTTCTTAGAACAGGAAATTTGGCAAGCTATAGTCTCATCAGACAGCTCTAAAGCTCCAGGACCAGATGGTTTCACCATGGGTTTCTTTAAAAACTGCTGGCCGATTTTAAAGGAGCACGTGTTGAAATTTTTTGAAGATTTCTATTTTGGAAGGAAATGGGAGCACGGTATAAACCATGCTTTTATCACACTTATTCCGAAGAAGCTTAATCCGGACAGTGTAGAGGAATTTAGACCAATCAGCCTTGTAGGCAGCTTATACAAGATACTTTCTAAAGTTCTTTCGAAGAGACTGAGTTGTTGTGTTGGTGATATTATTAGTCACTCTCAGTTTGCGTTTATACCAGGGAGACAGTTGCTGGATTGTGCTTTTATAGCAAACGAAGGGATTGATTACTGGAGGAAAAAGGGTTAAAAGGGGTTGCCTTCAAAGTAGATTTTCGTAGGGCTTATGATTCCGTGGAATGGCCAATTTTAATTAGAATAATGTCAGAGATGGGTTTTGGTAAGAGATGGTTGTCGTGGATATCTCAGTGTATTTCAACAGCTTCAATCTCAGTTCTCGTAAACGGGTCTCCATCGGAAGAGTTCCACATGGCCAAAGGACTTAGGCAAGGGTGCAGTTTATCACCGCTACTGTTTAACATTGTAGGTGAGCTGCTTAATTTGATGATATCTAAAGCAGTGGACAGGGGTCTGTTTCAAGGCTTTGTTATTGGGGAATCTGAAAATTCTGTTCGATTGACACATCTACAATTTGCAGATGACTTGATCATCTTCTGTCAAGCATCTCTCTCCCAGATTAAAAATGTCAAGAGAGTATTGAGGATTTTTAGTGTTATGACAGGGTTGCATCTTAATCTAGCTAAGAGTAAGCTATTTGGTATTAATGTGGAAGAGGAAGTTTTATCAGAATGGGCATCTTCGGTGGGCTGCTCTATTGATTCTCTTCCAACAGATTACTTGGGACTTCCTCTAGGTGCTAAGAAAAACTCAGAAGCCTTATGGGATCCAGTTTTCAAGAATTTTAGTTCCAAACTAGCCGGCTGGAAAGCTAATTGTCTCTCATTGGCGGGCAGGACAGTTTTATTAAAGTCGGTGTTAACATCCCTACCAATATTCTTCTTATCTCTTTTAGAATGCCTTGTAAAATTGGTAAGAAGCTTAATTCTTTAATGGCCAGTTTCCTATGGGGGGATAATGAGGACAAAAGGAAGATACACTGGGTTAATTGGAAATCAGTCTGCACGCCTCTAAATTGTGGTGGCCTTGGTGTTCTTGATGTGAACATATCTAATCGGGCTCTTTTGGGAAAATGGGTGTGGAAGTTCGCCAATGAAAAAATACTTTGTGGAAAAGTGTGTTATGTTGCAGGCACAAGGTAAGTAGTAATTCCATGTCTATTTGTAAGGTTTTTTCGCCCAAATCTTCTTGGATTTGGAGAGGGATTGCCAACAATTTCTTGAAGAACGACTCGGAGGGTGAACGTATCAGATCTAACTCCAAGTTGAAACTGGGAAATGGAAAGTCTATTGCATTTTGGACGGATTCATGGGCTGATGAGTCTCCTTTAAAATATCTTTTCCCTAGAATGTATGCGTTGTCAACAAATAAATGGGGTATGGTCGCTGAGTTTGGAAGTTCAGATTCGAACGGTTGGGTGTGGAACATCGATACCAGAAGGAATTTGTGTGACTGGGAGTTGGATCAGTGGCTGGATTTAATGACAAAACTGAAGGACTTTAAACTGACTGATTCAGTTGAAGACTTTCTTTCTTGGTCTGCAAGTGGGGATGGACTGTTTTCAGTGAAATCTTGTAGAAAGGAACTCGGCAAGGTGTCTGAGGAGTCCGATATATGGGTAAAAGGGGTGTGGCAGGGTTTATCTCCTCCTCGTGTTGAAGTCTTCCTGTGGCAGCTAGCTCATCAGAAAGTGGCAGTGAGAGAGGAGTTGGTGAAAAGAGGTTTGCAGCTAGGGGATGAAATTTTATGTCCGTTTTGTAAAAAACAGGTGGAATCAGTTCAGCATTTATTTATTTCATGTGATGTTGTTTGGGAACTTTGGAACAAGATAGCAAGCTATTGGGAAATAGCCTTAGTCCTTCCAAAGGATCCACCTTCTTTGCTATGTTCTTGGGGTGAGCTGAGGGGGAAATCGTTGATTTGGAAATTTATCCCGGGAGTAGTATTTTGGTCGATATGGAAAGCTAGGAATGCAATGGTGTTCGATGGTTCCCCCTTGGATAGGATGTCTCTGTTTTTTATTGCTAGATTCAGGTTATCTAAATGGTTTCTAGCCAAGTATCCTAAGTGTCCTATTCAGGAGGATGTGCTGATTGGTGATCCATCTCTTGCAGATGGTATTAAAGCTCTCAACATTTACAATTTTCAGGTTTCTCGCTGGATTCCACCCCCTATGGATTTTTTGAAGATGAATGTCGATGGAGCTGTTAGACTTGATGGCTCAAATGGAGGTATAGGAGGTATTTGAGAGATTGGAATAGCAACTCCCTTCTGACTTTTTCAGAAAATGTAGGTCAGGGTCCCCCGCCGGTTGCTGAGTTAAAGGCTATTAAGAGAGGCATTGAAATCTATATGTCTTCTTGTTGGGTTAAGGTTGGAAGGTTGATTGTGGAAAGTGACTGTAAGTCGGCTGTGGAATGGGTCCATACACCAGCTATGGCCCCAGTTTTTTATCCTCCCATTAGTTAAAGAGATTTCATCTTTTATCACGGACAGGGTGCACTCTATTAGACTGATTCCAAGGGTGTGTAATGGGGAGGCTGATAGTTTAGCAAAGATGGGAATTGGTTGATGTTTAGTCGTTTCCAGTGCGTTTTATCGTTTGAGTTTAGGTTTTCGGTTATGTTGAGTAGCTTAGTCTGTTGTGTTTTTTCAGTATGGTGTCTACGTTAAATCTTATGTAATTTCGGAGGAGTAATAAAGTTTCTAAGGCACTCTTTTCCTCCTTCTTTGATCAAGAAGGAGGTTTTTAAGGAGGCCTGTCATTCTTATAAAAAAAAAATTCTTGTCCAGCTGTGTATGCTTATATTGTTAAAGATATAGTCGTTAAACTTAGGTTTTGTGGGGGATTTGTTAGATGGGTTACAAGAACAGCTAACATGGAGGCTGATGCCTTAGCAAAAGCTGGTATAGGCTGAATTTTATGTATTTTGTTTTCGAGTGATTATTTGTAAGGGTTAGGGTTTTCTTCCTATAGGCTGTAATTCCTACTTTATTCAATAAAGTTATAAGGCACTCTTTTCCATCTTCAGTTGATTAAGGAGTTTACACATTAACTCCATTAATCAAGAAGGTGATTTTTAATGAGGCCTTCAGATCTTATCAAAAAAAAAAAAATCAGCAAAGAGCAATTAACGTACCAACTACAATTGGTGATACTATTGCCAAAGCACCCGGTTTTATCATCTCCCTCAAAGATGCAGATGCCACAATAGCAACACAGCGACCATAATCTGGTTTCTCCTTGTAGTCCTGCAGCAAATTCGACAAAAAAAAAAAAGCATAAATGTTCACACTAGATAGATGACACAAAGTATAATAAATAAATATGATTTAATGCAATTTTCAATTATTTCACATTTGTTTGCATCGGAACTTAATGATCAGAAAAATGATAATAGAAAATCATAGATCTCCCTCACATCTTTATACTTTTGGAAAGAGACTTCAAAAGTGAACTATGGAACAAAGATTGCAGCTGCATCTTTTTGCTCTTCTTGTCACTTCTCTCATGATTCATTTATCCAGATAAGAAATAACTTAACAATTTCTCTGGGTTGGATAAGAAATAACTTAACAATTTCTCTGGGTTGCGTTTGATTCAAATATAATAGAAAAGCTAGATGTTAAAGTACACTGTAAAAGACAATTGAAATCATAAACCCACCATGATACCAGGCCTCTCAATAAATTGTCTTCTTACTTCCCTAACAACCTCCTGTGCAGTTCGGCCAACTGCAGCACAGGCCCATGCACTAAATAAGAAAATAAGCATGAAGCCCAACAATCCACCAACAAAAACCTCAGGAATGGCGATATCAACCTGAAAGTTTATTCAAAATATAAATGTTAGAAAAGAAAAAATGAAAAACTTTGCAGATTAACTAACCTGAGGTTCCATTCATTGCCACTTTTTACATCTTTTCACCATTATTTTCCCTTTCTCAGAAACACCAATTCGAACACAATTATTGTGCTTACAAGTAAAACCATGCATTTTTCTTTTAGTAAATTATTCAATCATTGCTTCTTTTATTCAGAAGTAGAAAAAAAGTAGCAAATGAGTGGTAAACCATATACTGCCTTCGTTAATGAAGAAACACAGACCAGACCTGTTTAAAAGATTCATGTGCAAAAGATGAAACCTCATCCATATATGCACTAAACAGAAGAAAAGAAGCAAGTGCTGCAGATCCAATGGCAAAACCCTTGGTGGTAGCTTTTGTAGTGTTCCCAACAGCATCAAGAACATCAGTGATCTCCCGCACGCTCTCGGGCTGTACAAGGCATCAACGGCTAATTCAAACAATCCAAAAAGAAGAAACTGCAATATACAGATTGGTAACAGAAGAATCTAGAGAATCAACCATATAATACCTGCTGACTCATCTCTACAATTCCGCCAGCATTATCAGCTATCGGACCAAACATATCCATGGTTAGAATATAGGCCGCGGTGCTGAGCATTCCCATTGTTGCTACAGCTGTTCCAAACAACCCACCAGTTGGACTTCCTGTTTCGTCCACAAGCCCTGAGGTTTGACCCAGCCAAAAAGCAGAAATAATAGCTATACTTATCACAAGAACAGGAAGTGCTGTCGATTCCAGGCCCAAACTGACTCCGGCAATATGTTAGTCCCATGTCCCGTAGAGCTAGAAAGAGCTAATGTGCGTACAGGCTCATGCTTGTAGTCAGTGTAATATTCGTTATCCAGACAAAAACATAGGCTGTAATAATACCAACTAGCCCACATAAATAAAAGTTCAACCATGCAGAAGGTGCTTGTTCGGTAAAAAGCAACCACCGAGTAGACTGCAATAATTTCAGAAAAAGAACAAGTCCCAAATGAGCTTTCAACCAAAAAAGAGCAATATAAATGTCAAGATTTCAATATTTGACACGAGAAAACAAAAAAAATATTGCAGATGACATTACCCCAGCAAATGTCAGAACAGCCAAAACTATTGTAACAGAGTATCCTTTCTGAAGGATTGCCATTGGATCCTCTAGTGGAACTTTCACACCGGAGTCACGTGTAACCCTAATTGAAAGTATTCCAATCGATGATACCACCAGGTCAAATGAGTGCACGACAAGAGGAAACAGGATGAAGCCAGAAGGGTCTGCATTAATATCGAAGAAGGGGCAACCCCAAAAAATCCTCAACATAATGAATATGTCATTGCCAAAGAAAAGTAAATTGAAATAACCAAACTAGCAAATTTACAGGAAATGTTTTTCAAGCCGTCTCTTAGTTATGTTTTGGAAGGCCTGAACCTTTAATATAACTATAATCAATGGACATACTCTCAGAACCAACAAGCTTAGTTATAACACCATACCGGATGCACAGTTTTGCTGTTTGTAGTACAGATGGTGTAAAAAGTTAGCAATCAAGACTAGAGATTCCTGAACACTACCAGTTAGAGATATATTCTAATTTGTTTCTCTCGAACATTAGCTAACAGCCGAATAACACTACTTACATACTGAAACATCAGGATACAAGAAAGCTTCTTTTTATATCAACATACCGCAGATTTTGATTTCCTTGTACTGGTCACGAAAGTTTTAGCTTTCATCTCGGTTCATGGTAAATTTATTAAAAAATATATATTCTATTTTTGCAGTTGTCAACTGGCATTGTTAAGACATGACATTCACAAGATGCAACAGTAAAAATATGTTAAAACTCCATAAAAATGAGAAGAAACTTGAACCCACCTTCAATTTTACACCGCTGAGCCATTGTTCCACCAAGTATCATGGCACTAATTATCTCAGCTGCAATGCTTTCAAAAAGATCTGCACCTCGTGCAGCACAATCACCAACATTGTCCCCAACCTTCAGTACAAAAAGAAAGATTCAAGTCACAAACATAATGGCCGAGATAAATTAGAGAAAACACATAAAAAATATAAATAAAGAAATAAAGATATAGCAGAATCATTATTGTTGTAAATTTGGTCACACTTCTTCCAATTTTGGTTCGCAATAGATATGTTCAGTCACCTTCCAATATTGACCTTCATTCAACCAATAAAATTTTCAAATAAATTACTTCAGTTTTCCCTAAAACTAGAAGGTTCAATTCTTTATCGTAAAGTAAGATAGATTTCGAAACAAAATCAAAATGTAAATTTTATGCTCCCTCTCAAACACACGTGTATTTGAATCTGAGAAGGGTTTTAATAATTATGTGCAAAGTCAAGTACAAACATATCCCCCTATAACTTGCATAGAGTTCTGCTATCCTTGTTAAATATTTAACAGAATCACAATTGCTTTCAAAATATAGCTTCAAAATTTTATTTCAATGAACACCCATATGGTCAACTCCTACAACTATAAACCTTCAGTCCAGCTCATAAATGAAAAATTCATTATATAGAACAGGAAATTACATGACATATGCACAAGCTATACATGCTCATTTTGTCAACTCAAAACTAAACAATAATTTGAGGAGACTAAAGTCATGTTATTTCTGACTCCAAAATGATTAACTATATATCTTAAGCATCAATTCAAATAAGGAACTTGATGAAGTTGAAATCCAATACCAGATCTGCAATTACAGCCGGGTTTCTAGGATCATCTTCAGGTATTCCTTGTTCTACTTTTCCAACAAGATCTGCCCCGACATCAGCTGCTTTTGTATATATTCCACCACCCAATTGAGCAAACAGGGCAACAAATGAAGCTCCAAAACCATATCCCACGAGAAGAAGAGGCACTGAAAGAAATAAACAACATCAATCAAGGAGTCGCCAGCACTATTGATTCTAAAACCCATGAAATGCTAGTTTAAGGTGAACATAGAATCAACAGCCACAGTCCAAATATATCCATGTCTGCATACAATCCACATGCATACAAGTGTATATGCATATAGAGATCACTTAGGCAATGCAAGCCAGCAAGCACCTGAATTGTCTACGTGGAAACAACTGTTCATGTAAGACAGTTAACCAATATGAACTGTCATAAAAAATACAGAAATTTGCAGAAAGCAAAGACTAGATGTTACCAACAATACATCAAGAATAAAGAATTCCATGTTACCAACACCCACTAAATGCAACAAAATGTCAAGAATAAAGAATACCATGTTACCAACACCAATAAATCATGCATAAGAATTAAGACATTAAGCATATAACAATTATTTTCAAAGCAAAAATGTGAGTCCAGAATAGAGATATTTGGTATTCTCTTCATTAATAAGAAAAATATACTAGTAAGACATGAAGGAAAGAAGCTAGCACTATCAGCTCTTGTGAGGAATGTGAAAAGCTCCATTATTGACCTGTGATAATTGCTCCTTGTCCTCCTTTTCGGATTAAAAAAAATCAAGTTATTAACAGAAAAAGCTTTGCTTTAAAAAAAACATGAGTGAGAAAACTAGTGAGAGAGCGATCGTGGAGCTTGGTTTGGGTTCTTCTGACAGAGGCGGAGCACTGCCTGGAGAAGGAGCATGGGTAGCTTTCATAGATAATCTTAGTAGGAGAGTGCATAGAAGCGTTTTATGGGAACGTTTTAGCTATTTCGGCAAGGTGATCAAAGTGTTTATTCCGTTCGTTAATAGGAGACCAAAGTACAAGGATTATACATTCGCTTTTGTGCATTTTGCTTGTAAGGAGGATCTGTTCAATGGAAAGGATAGGATGAATAATGTTGTGGTAGATGGAAGGAGGATATCGGTGTCGATTGCGAAATACCAGAAGAGAAGTTATCCGCGTGGCCGAGAGCGAGCTAAAGGAGTGGGGTGCGGAGTTGCCAGAGAAGTGGAGCTGAGAGGGAAGAGATCAACAGTCCAAGTTGAGGCGAGGAGGAGGGAGTTGCTAAGTAAATATCATGATGGAAGATCTTACAAGGATGCGGTAGTGGGAAGGGATAATACTGAGGGTCAGCAGAGGAATAGATGTGGAGATACGAGGGAGGTTAAGAAGCCTTTGGAAGTTCATATTCCAATGGAAGAAAGGACTTGGTTAAGATCATCTCTAACTGGTATATACAAGCAGATTTTCGAAGTTGAGCTTGTGCAAAGAGGTTTAAGGACTGAGGGTTTTAATGTCAAGGTGATAAGGTGGGGTTTTGAGAGAAATGCATGTCTGATTGTATTTAAGTCTGTGGAGGAGAAAATCGCAGCGGTGGAGGACAAATGGGAGGCATTGTCTTTCTGGTTTGAAAGGCTGGAGCCTGTCATGGAGGAGAAGGGCGTTCCATTACCTTTCTGTGCAGTATCCTTGATGGGTGTTCCTTTAAATTGCTGGTCAGTTTCATTCTTTTCTAGTTTGGCTGCGAGATGGGGCAAGTTAGTGAAGATTCAAGATCAAACGACTCAAAGAGTGGACTGCAGGGTGGCTCATTTGCTGTTAAGAGTGGAAAGCCCGTTCGATATTCCGCCCCAGGAAATCATTAATACTTATGGTAGATCTTTTTTATTAAGATTAAAGTGGAAGGCTGTGATGAGTTCTTCCTGAGCTTGATGAGGGGGAGGTAGAAGAAGGCTCTGTGGAAGAACGAGTTGACCAGGGAGAGAAGACTTCATCGGAAGGGAGCAAAGGGGATGATAGAGAAGGTCAGCAAGGGCAGTTGAATTTCCAGAAGATGTCAGATGCTCAGAATAGACAAGAAGCACGGGCTAAAGGTGCTTCTCATGGGGATGACACAATGACCGATGATAATTTGAATTTTAACGTGGAAGCCAATAATATTACAGGGGCTAACCATTGGGATGAGGGGACAGTACTAGGTGAGGCGAAAAGTATGCAGAAAGTGTCGGGTGTTCCAGCTGTTGGAAGGAAAAAGGTGTTCAGAGTGGAAGGTGGCTCCTCGGGACAAGAAAAAGTTGTCAAAGATTGTGGGATTAAGTATAAAACGGGTAGATCTGAGGTGTTTGGGCCTGAGCAGTATGGGTGTGTTTCACTAGCCCAGCGATGTCCTGCGGACAATGAAAGCCATTTACAGGACCAAACACATTCTGAAACATATGAGGAGAACAGTATCATGGTAGAGGAAGAGAATGAAGGCATTCAGGAAGTTGAGGTTTTTGATATGGGTGACAAAGGAAGTAAGTCTAATAAGGTCAACAGAAATGCAAAGGTGAAGAGTTGTAGGAGATGGAGATTAGGATATCAGGTATCTAAAGGCCTGTCAATAAGTAAGACTTCTGAAGGATTGAGGGGTTGCGGACGTTTTGCGAGGGTCTACAGAAGGTCAAAAACAAGACAAGTTTGGTTATGTTCAGCAAATATTCATAAGCACAGTCAGAACAGGCTGGGTACTTCATAATTCTAAGCAATTTTCATCAGCTTCAGGGGTTAGGGGTCAGGATAAGGATACTACTGTTTCTGCCCATGGTCATAACAAGCCTATGGGCCCTATTAGTAGCAGCATTTCTCCAGTAAGTGGGATGGCAGATCAGGTTATTGCTTCTAGGAATCGGAGAAAATACAGAAAGAAGAGAAGAGGTTTAATCTCAGAAGCTCTGGCTAATGCAGATGTATCTACAGTCTACTCTTGTTCCTTCTCTAAAGTTCTTGAGGAAGCATTGAATACTTGGGAAGTCTGTCAGAGTTTAGGCATTTCTTTCAAGGAAGGGAGGGAGGCTTTTATTGATAAAATTAGGAAGATGGAGGAAGGGGCAGGGGTGGCAAATGAAGCTGCTAAGTGAGTTAGTTACTTGCTTCCTCGAAGGTTTGGGCTTGAAATGTATATGTTGGAATGTAATATTATTTCGTGGAATGTTAGGGGCTTACGAAGAAAGGAAAAAATTAGAGGGGTGTCGAGACTTGTAAATAAGAACAAACCGGTCATATTGCTTTTACAGGAGACAAAACTGAGTAAAAACAAGAAGGGGCTTAGAAGGAAATTAGGAGGAAAGCTGTTGATGGGAGAAAGTTTCCAGCCAGCGGATGGGTCAGCCGATGGATTGTTGTGTTTGTGGAATGAAAATGCTTATGAGGTAAGCAAGGTGTATAATCAAAGTAGATTTCAGGTGTTAACAGGGAAGTTCAAGGTGTCTAAAGTAGAATGTGTTATTATTAATGTGTATGGTCCTTCTGTAGAGGAAGAAAGGAGGATTTTTCAGGCAACGTTGAGTTATGTTCACTCTGTTAATCTGCCAATTTGCATCAGGGGAGATTTTAATGCTTATCTCGACCAAGAGGAGAAGAGTGGTGCCTCACAAAATTGGCATTCAATGGGTCTGCTAAGGAATTTCTTGCAACAATCAAATTTAATAGATCTTCCTTTGGCAGGTGGCACTTTCACTTGGGGTAATAATAGAGAAGCACTACTTGGGTAAGGCTTGATCGGTTCTTATTGAGTAGCAGCTTCTTAAGCTGCATCACCAAGTCTGTTCAGAAATTGCTTCCTAGATCTCTCTCTGATCACAACCCGATACTATTGGTTGAAGATGTGAAAAAATGGGGCCCTAAACCTTTTCGGTTCTTTAATTATATGATGGAGGAAGATGGTTTTGTAGATATGGTTCAGAATGCAATGTCAGATCGGGTTGAAGATAGAGGAAGAGGAATTTACAGTGTATTAAAAGGAACTAAGAAACGTATCAAGGAATGGCCATTCAGAAATAAACAGGGGATATCTGAAGCTATTACAGGGTTGGAGAGCAAAATAAATGATTTGGAAATTAAGGCGCAAGGCAGTGGGCCTTCTACTTTTGACTGGAAACAACTTCTGTCATCCAGAAAAGAGCTCTGGAAATTGCATAGAATTGAAGAAAGTATTTGGTTTCAAATGTCAAGGGCGAAATGGATAAATGATGGGGATAGAAACACGAGGTTCTTCCACCTATGTGTTGTAAACAGAAACAAATTCAACACCATTTCGACATTGAAAGTGGATGGGGAGGTGATGATAGATCCAGTGCTGATTAAAGATTATGTCTCCCAGTTCTTTAAGAAAGCCTATAACTCTAAAGATTTTTTAGAGGTGGAGAACTTGAATTTAAAATTTGCTAAATTGAGAGGAGATCAAAGGAATAGCCTGGAGGTTATGTTTTCAGAGGAGGAAGTAAGGGAGGCTATTTTCTCTTCGGACAGTTCTAAAGCATCAGGTCTCGATGGGTTTACGATGGGTTTTTTCAAGAAATTCTGGCCAACTATGAAGGGGCAACTCATGAAGTTTATGGAGGATTTTTATTGTGGGAGAAAATGGGATCATGGGGTCAATCATGCGTTCATTTCTCTGATCCCAAAGAAAAACAATTCGGAAGTAATTGAAGATTATAGACCTTTAAGTCTCGTTGGCAGTCTCTATAAAATCATTTCCAAAGTTTTAGCAAGGAGACTAGTTTTAGCAAGGAGACTAGTTTCAGTGATTCAAGATATTGTGAGCCCTTCACAATTTGCATTTATTCCGGGGAGACAGCTTTTAGATTGTGCTTTTCTTGCAAACGAAGGCATAGATTATTGGAGGAAGCAAGGGCTAAAAGGGGTAGTTTTCAAAGCCGACTTTCAGAGGGCGTATGACACGGTTGAATGGCCAATTATCTTTAGATTATTGAGAGTCATGGGCTTTGGGGAGAGATGGGTTTCCTGGATAAAATGTTGCCTCTCCACGGCGTCAATTTCGGTGTTAGTGAATGGCTCTCCTACAAAGGAGTTCTCGATGGGCAAAGGGTTGAGACAAGGATGCAGTTTGTCTCCTCTCTTGTTTAATTTAGTGGGGGAACTGTTAAATCGTATGTTAGTGAAAGCAGCGGATGTGGGACTTTTTCAGGGTTTTGCTTTTGGAAGATCGGTTTCCTTTAATTTAACCCATTTACAATTTGCTGACGACCTGATTTTGTTTTGCCGAGATTCACCTACCTATATTCTCAATATTAAGAGAGTCTTGAGGATTTTTAGCCTAATGACTGGACTCCGTTTGAATTTGTCGAAGAGTAATTTGTATGGAATTAATGTGGATGACGATGTATTAAATGAATGGGCTAAGGAGGCTGGTTGCGCAGTAGGTGTTCTGCCCACAGTATATTTAGGTTTACCATTAGGTGCAAAGAGAAATTCAGAGGCTGTTTGGGAGCCAGTCTTTCAGAGTTTCATCAAAAAGTTATCCGGATGGAAAGCTTCCACACTATCTATGGCGGGCAGATTGGTGTTGATAAAATCAGTTCTGTCCTCCTTGCCGATTTTCTACCTCTCTGTTTTCAGAATCCCGAGTAAGGTTTATAGGAAGTTAAATTCTCTTATGGTCAACTTTTTGTGGGGGGAAGGTTCTTCAAAAAGTCGAATTCACTGGGTGAATTGGAAAAGGGTTTGTCAACCCTTCGAGGAGGGAGGTTTGGGAATCTTGGATCTGAATTTCGCTAACAGAGTGTTGCTAGGTAAATGGGTATGGAAGTTCGCAAATGAAAATGACACTCTTTGGAAGAACATGATTTGCAGTAAACATAATGTGAGTAATCTGTCTTTAGACCTCAAAAAGGTAGTCTCTCCTTCGGATTCTTAGATATGGAAGGGTATTACAAGAAACTATTTGGCAGAGGATGCAATTGATCATGGTTTGCGATCTCACTCGAAGATTCAAGTAGGCAATGGCAAGTCTATTGTATTCTGGCATGATGTTTGGCTATATGAGGATTCTTTAAAGAATCAATTTCCAAGGATCTATGTTCTTTCCAATAACAAGTGGGGAAAAGTTTTTGAGTTTGGCAGTTTCTTGAGCAATAGATGGATTTGGAATATTCAAACGAGAAGGAATCTATGTGATTGGGAGCTGGATTACTGGATTCAATTGATGTCATTATTGGAAAATGTTGGTCTGTCTGAATCGGTGGATGATTTTCTGGCGTGGTCGGGGAAAGGAGATGGACTGTTCACTGCTAAAGCATGTAGGTTGACTCTTTCTACAAATTCAGGGGGTAGTTTCAAGTGGAAAAGGTTCGTTTGGTCAGGTTTGGCTCCCCCAAGAGTCGAAACTTTTCTGTGGCAGGTCTCTCATCAAAGATTGGCAGTTAGAACGGAGTTGACAAGGAGAGGTGTTCCATTGGAGGAGGTCTCTTGTCCGTTTTGTGCTCAACAGGAAGAAACAGTTCAGCACTTGTTCATATCGTGTTTGGTAGCATGGGACCTATGGAGCAGTTTTTGGAGGTTATGGGAAGTCTCGTCAGTCTTACCTAAAGACCCAGTCTCTTTGCTGTGCTCTTGGTCGGACATGAGGCCAAATTCTCTAATATGGAGCTTTATACCGGGTGTAGTTCTATGGTCATTATGGAAGGCTAGAAACTCGGTGGTTTTCGATGATTGGGAACTGGACAGCCATACTCTTTTCTTCATTTGTAGATTTAGATTGGCTAAATGGTTCCTGGCGGACGTCTTTATTCAGGTAGACTCCCTTGTTGGGGACCCTACACTTGCAGACAAGCACCATACTAGGAACCGTAAAAGGATGAAGGTCCAGGGCTGGCTTCCTCCTCCACTTCATTTTTTCAAAGTTAACGTTGATGGGGAAGTCAGTGGGGACGGGCTGCTAGGGGGAATGGGGGCATTTTAAGAGATTCAGAAAGTAAAATTCTTGGGTCCTTCTCGCACGCTGTTGGACCAGGTCCTCCACCACTGCTGAGCTGAAAGCCATTGAGAAAGGCATTGACTTTTTTCTCTCGTCGGATTGGGCGAGGAAGGGAAGGTTAATTATAGAGAGTGATTGTAAATCAGTAGTGGATTGGATTTTGCTGCCGACATCATCTCCTAGTTTTTTTAGTTCGTTGGTTCAGAAAATTGCTTCCCTAAAGGGAGATCATTATTAGACATATCCCGAGGAGCTGCAATTGTGAGGCTGATACTTTAGCTAAACAGGGGATTGGATGATGAATGAAGGTTGCCTTAGAGGTTTTGCAGTAGGGTTGGTGGTCTATTGAGGTTGTTGGGGCCGAGTCAGTTTTGGTGTTGTTTAAGGGAGTTCTGGTCGCATTGGGGTTTTGCTTTCTACGTTCTGTAATTTTTTAGGTTTTGTTATTTTGTCTTATGGCTGTATTTTATGTACTTTGTCTTTGATGAATAAAATCCTAAGGCACTATTTCCACCTTCCGATGATTAAGGAGCTTTCCTAAAAGATCAATTAATCAAGAAGGGGGTTTTTAATGAGGCCTGAAATTCTTATAAAAAAAATTAATAAGAAAATCATGGGCAGTCAAAGATCCATTGTAAGTAGTAAACGTCATTTACAGATATAACTAAATGTGGGTCGTTGTAAGGCAGTTAAGTCTTCCTTGATTAGGCGAGGTGTTAGCGGAATTGATGATCCTCTTTGCCCGTTGTGTGGGTCGGATGTGGAGTCGGTTTGTCATTTATTCTTCTCTGCAGATTAGTTTGGGGTGTGTGGGTGCGGTTCTTGAGGATGTGGAATGTATGTACTGCCTTGCCAAATAGTCCCAATAATTCTTTTCCGTGTGGTTTGATTTTTTTCCGTATTCCGAGATTTGGAAATTTATTCCAGGAGCAGTTATGTGGTCTGTTTGGTTATGTAGGAATAAATTGGTTTTGGAAATGGAAGGTTGGATCTTACCTATTTGTGTTTTCTGGTTAGATATAGGGTGGCTGCTTGGTTCTTGGCGAAGAAGTTTGGGTTTCCAGTTGCTTTTGATCTTCTTTTAGGTGACCTTAATTTGGCAGATTTGCACAAGGGTTCGTTGAAGAAATTTCCTCCTTTGATAGGTTGGTTTCCTCCCCCTTCGGGCTGGTTTAAAGTAAATGTGGATGGGGCAGTGGGCTGTGATTGGAGGTGCAGTGGTATTGGTGGGTTGATCAGGGACTCAGAAGGTAAGCAGCTGGGGTCTTTCTCGGTCACGTCTAGACCTGGTCCTGGCTGAACTCAAAGCTATTCAAGCAGGACTGAATGTTTTGGATTCGAAGTGGAAAGACAAGGGGAGTCTCATCTTGGAGAGCGATTCTTTGGTTGCTGTGAATTGGATTAAAAATCCAGAGTGTTGTCCTGCTGTAGTGTTGTCCTGCTGTTCTGCTGTTTTTAGCATTCTGGTAAAAGAATTAGCTAGGACTGTGTTGGTTTACAATGTGTTACTAAGGTTTGTGAAGAGAAGTAATTGTGAAGCTGATAGTTTAGCTACGGCGGGAATGGGTAATGTTTAGCTGTGTTTTGTGTTCGTTTTTTGGTGTTTGTTGGGAGTGTTATTATCCTGTCATGGGATAGGAGTTTATGAGTAAGGTTGTAATCTAGGGAATGTTTACCTAGGTTGTACTTTTGTGGATTTAATAAATTTTGGGCACTCGTTTCCTCCTTCCAGTGCCCGTTAAGATACTTTGTAGCTTAACGGTTAAGAAGGGGGTTTTTAACGAGGCCTATTTCTTATCAAAAAATAAAACGCCAGTATAGCTGCTTTAAAAATAAAGATCACACTTGATGAATTTGTAAGACATGACCAATCTTAGATAGCCAAGAGAACTAACTGCTATCCACTTTCACAAAAATGAGGAAAAACAAAAAATCATGCTTATACACTCAACCAACATTTGCAAAGAGAAGATGAACATTCAAGAATATCAACATGTTCTCAATATACCAACATATGTAGGAAAAGGCAAGAACAATGTAATAAGTATATCCATCTGCACAAAGTGCATTAATTTTTTTTTGATAGGAATAGAAGGCCTCAAACATAAAAGGAATAAGGAAATTAATTACATACAATCTGTGACTTCATTGAACCAGGTGAATCCACTTCCAGCCAAACATAAAATGCTGCATAAAGGATGGCTATACCAATCACAGCCATACCAACCACCCCAAGGCAGAAAAACCAGCACGGACAGCTATCTGCATGATATGATTGCACTTAGCAGTCAAAACTGCAAGCTTTCATAAAAAACTTTGAAATTTAAAAAGGATACAACCTGCAATGCTTCTCTTGCTGACCGTCTTGCAGCACTGGAGACTCGGACATTTGCACGAACTGATACCCACATCCCAACATACCCAGCAACACCTGAACATAGAGCCCCCAGAAGAAATGCAGCAACAGTGATACATGCAGATGTCACCCTGCAAATAATCATATTTATCACAAGGGTAAAGAAAAAGAATATGCTATTTTACATAATGTTCATATATATCACAAGATTCACAACCTTCCTAAGCCTGAGGATTCTTGTTGGGGAGTTGTATTTCGAAACAAATATGCCAAGGATCACTAGCGCTAGCAACACTGCCATCTTGGAGATAGTATCATACTGTGTCCTGAAGAATCCTTCTGCTCCATCACGTATAGCCTCTGATCTCTAGAAATAAAACGATAAGCTCAATAAAAGTCTATCAGGAGATTGATCAAAAGCAATAAGTTCTCAGTTCCATTGTAAAGGTTAACATGAAGATATAAACAATAGGGAGCCTACCTCTCTTTATTAGGATATGTAATTATACAAAGCAGTAAGAAAGTATGGTGTTCTTTGCCTTAAGAATTTATCTTGCTCCATATGCAGATAATGAAGAAGCATACATTTTTCTAGTTCTGTGTATACTTTGTTATGTTCACGGGTTGGATCGAGTCATCCAACAATTGACGGGAACCTACTTCGATTGGTAAAGTTTAACCTTGTCTCGGTTCCTAGCTTGTGAAGACCCTAGATTAATAAAATATGGAATTCGTTAGGGAGCTGCTAACCTTAGACTTGTTAGAAAGAGGTTTCAAATCTCCATAGATTGAAATAATCTCCATAGGGTTTTATTGTAGTAAACTAAGAAACTAAAATTAACTTGTAGAATTTATGATTAAGGAAACTAGAATTAAGTACTTTTAATTGCAACATGACTTGCTAAATATATCATTCTAATTAGGAATATTAATAAATAAACTTATTTGTCTTCTTTCATTTTGACACTATTTTTTTTTATAAGAATTGAAGGCCTCATTAAAAACCTCTTCTTAATTAATGGAGCTTGAAGAAAGCTCCTTAATCATTGGAAGGAGGAAAAGAGCGCCTTAGAATTTCATTCAACAACTGTCCTCCGTCGTTAATATTTCTGATCAAACCTTAGATCAAACGCTAACACTCATCAGATATGATTGTTGTAAATTAAAGCATAAAATTGTAAAAAATTTAATAGGTGCTGTGAATAAAGTATTCTAAATAACCAATAGCAAAATAACACTCAATATATAAAAGACATTTCAATTTGGATAAACGTTAAATTTAAAAATTCTAGAGAAGCATCTAATACAATTTTTCCAGGAGCATAAGAAAGCTTGAGATTATGACTTTATGAAGTTTTACCCAGAGAAATTTACCTGAACCATCTCTGGAGGCCCTTCATCCTTGGAAAGGACCCACTTTGTGAGATAGATTGACAAAAGGAAGCTGACAATGCAAACTGAGAAGACAAAAACAATGATTGGAGAAGTACTTGCCCCAATGTAAAAGACATATCCGAAGCCAAAAAGGAGAAGTATGGCAAGAACACGAACATTTATTCCCCTGAGAATTCGAAAAATCTGCAGAAATGAATTAGTCAACTAAAGAACACATAAGAAAAAGAGTGTTCCAGATGGCAAGAGGAGAGAAAGATTAAATATATGCTTAGCTAGGCGAGAGCATAGAAATTAAAAGGAAAAGGATCCTGCATCACTGCTTATTTTTTTACTAAAATTCAACTGTGAATTTTTATTAACTTGTTTGCTTAACTCTGCCAACTAGTCATACTGCCATTCACATCAATTCAGCAGTCTCTGTGAAGCCCATGCTAAATTTCTTTTCCTTTTATATGCTACACCCCAAAAATTCTAAGCGAGGATATTTTTTTCTATTTTATGTTTAATAACACTACAACTGTAATAAACACCATAACACCAAAAACAGCAACCGGTTGACCATATATATTTTTTTTTGATAGAAGGTTGACCATATATATCCACAAGATAATAGTCAAGGATCTTATTTGCAGTTGAGAAGGAACAGTATGGAAAAAAGAATCAGGATTTATTTTGCGGACATCATAACAATATTTGAAATATCAATTGAGCTAGAGAAGAAATGTTAGAATGAACATTCTCACCATGGAAGCCTTCAACTAATTGCTGAATGTACAGTTTCAAATATCTCTGCTCACTGATAGTATATGGATAAAATATGCTTAATATGGAACTATTAAACGATTCCAATGCCTCTACAAACTGAAAATGAAAAAAGTGATCCGTCCAATAAAAAACTTGATATCATAAAAGATTAAATAATTCCTCGTTTCCAAAAATTTTAACCAGGTATTGGCAACAACAAATGCAGAATAAAAAATACTCCTAAAATATCAAAAACGAAAATGAGAAGGAAGCAAGACATCATGGCCAAGAATTCCAATCCACACTCATCCACATCTAACAAACCACACACTGAACTGAGACAAACATAAGATCCTTACCAAGGGGTATATGGTTTACTACGCATGTTTGGAAATGTCCTTGGCCTATCTGGGTAAGGCCCCAAATTACCAGTCTCGACGTCATCTCCCTTCATCATGGCACTAGCAGAGTTCACCCCCCGGGCAGCTGGAAAAGGGTACTCCCTAGTCTGGGGCAATCACCCCCTGAACTTGGTCGCTGAATTTTGAATGCTTTAACTTGTACAGTGAAATACTATACTTTTACCTGAGACATACGAAACAATCAGCTTCTTCATTAACAACTGTTGTGATTTAGGTTCGATAGATTCTATTCTTGCCTCACTTGCCTTACCTATAAAATTCTAGATCCAATTCAATATTCCGGTTCAAGGATTTTTAGACACAAGTTAATTTCCTGCAATAAAGGGAAAAATAAAATTTAATCGGTTAAAACTTACTAAAACAGACAAAAATTGCAAAGATTTAAGGTTTAAGTAAATTAAACCCAAGCCACCACTTTGGTGATGAAAAAACCGTATCTCATTAGTGAATAAGATTTTGGGGCAGATAATTGGAAAAGGGTTCTTAATTCACAGCATTGCCAACTATAAAAATCGAATATTTTGAGTCCCTTGGCCAAGAAATGTGATCATGGAAATACTATACATTGATCAGAAGAAAATCTAACATTGTAATTGTGCAATTTAAGCTCACATTGCTTATACTTAATATTTAGCAGCAAAAGCCCTGCATGATTGTGTCTGAGTAGAAAAAAAGAAATGCAAACACAGAAAAAGGTGGCAAAAGCAATTGCATAGAATAAAAAATCTAAGAAACAAGAAACTCTCACTAGTTTTACCGAAAATGAACATCTAAACAATATATCTTTAAAAGTCTCAATTACTGTGTCTCGTAGCATAAAATACAATTCAAGTCCGGCTAGGTGGAAGTATCAAGGATGGGATGGAAAAGAGGAGAGATGGAATTTTTTGAATGCAATAATTAGGCTTAGGCCATGAAGGTGATAATAAAACCCAAGCACTTAATTATTAGATTGGAAATTTTTTCCTCACTCAGCCTAAATATAAACATCTAACAAGATTAGATCCAGGAATATTATTTTGATCTCCAATTATCTGTCTCATTTCCCCGATTGCATTAACAAGAGATCTTCGATAAAAAGTGCATGATGTTGCAAAAGGCCATTAGAATTTAATAATTAGCAAAAAATGAATTAGATGGTTTTCAACCCACCCATTTGCGAGAACCAAACATTATTTCGTTCCGTTTTCAATACAAAGTACCTTTTTTCAACAAAAAAAAATCGTTCCGTTTTGGCCTACCATAAGACTAAAATACATTCCGCACAAATTACAATAATTTGAGTTCAGCATTTAAAAATCATGTATTTTGCTCCTTCTGTTTTCTTCCCCTTTGCGGGACCTTTCGGACTATAGTTCTGCTAGCAACAATGGAAATAAAATAAAGCAAAAAAAAAACCCCGAAAGTTGATCCGAGTAAACCGACCAGTAAGTTTTCAATTTTCTTAGGCTCCAAAGTTCCCATTCCCGACATTTCATCAACAGAACGACGGGAATGAAGGGACCTCCTATGAAGCATAAGATCCAAATCCGAAACTCCAGAGAATTGTGCGATTTGATCTCGAAAATAATCAATTAGATCTATAAGAAAATTAAAAGATTACACATACCGTGTTCAATTGCCGCGGCCAAACCAAGTAATTGCCACTTACGTGGGTAACAATACGTTAACTCTCTCCCTCCCTATCTCTGCGAAAACCGAAAATTTGCAGAGTTATTATTTTTTCACCGAGAAAGAAGAAATTTATGTTTTTTTCATTTTCGCTGTAATTTTTTTTCGGATTAATAGGTAAATTGACCCTGAACTATAACCGGATTTTCGTTTTGACTCTTAATGTTATTTTTTTCATCAGTAAAATACATCGAAGGTCATTCATAATTATTTGATGACAAATAGGTCATTTTTTAAAATATTACAATTTAGTCATTTAATTAAAAATTTATTATAAATATGTCCTTGGCTATTAAATATTATATAGAATAATGGTGTGATCTAGTAAATATAATTTAGTCCCTAAAACTTATATATTCTATCAATTTAACCTTTGAAACAATTCAATAAATTTAACCTTTCATATTTAAAAAAGAATCAATTTAATTTTTGTTTATCTCATAAATTATTTATTCTTCTCTTATAAACGTTGTATTACTTTCATGTTATTTTCTCACCGTGACAGAATACAATTATCCAGCTAATGTTTTGACTTGACATCCTTGCTTGATTTGACAATATCATAAAAAGAACTAAATTGATGTAATTTTAAAAAATATGAAAGGTTAATTTTATTGAATTTCTTGAGTTAAGACTAAACTAATAGATACAAAAATTGTAGTGACTAAAACTATTATTATCAAAACTTAAATGTTTTAAATTTGAACGTTCAATGATATTTTAATTGAGTGATGAAATTATAACTTTGGAAGAGAAAATGGTTCCACTGTTACCAAACCTATGTAATTGAGTAACCTGTGATGTATTTTACTATTTTTTTAAAAAAGTGAAATTTTATCTTGTCCTATTTTTAGCCGGTGTTAAAAAATGAGCTTCAAGCATAATTTCCCCTATAAATTATACATATTTTACCTTGTTACCCCTAAACTTCACTTTAATTTCTCATGTTCTAATATTTGTGTAAATTAATTGAATATTAAAATAACATATTGAAATGTTTTTAAAGGTTAAATTTTTTTCTTAAAATCATGCAAAAACCAATGTTGGATATGAAAAATATTTTAGAAAAATAAGTGTCAAAATTCACTTAAAATAAAATTTTAATAACATAAAAATATTTTTACCTTAGATTTCCGAAACAATAATGACAAAAAATTAATCAAATAAATATAATAATAATTTCAACATCACATAATATTGTGACATTTATTCATTAACCCATAAATATAGGTAGAATGATTTTACGTCGCGGGTCAATGGTCGGATCTTGAAAAATATTTTTGAAAGATCAACTAAATTTGGTCCACCCCAAATTATGTGCTAATGCTAATAATACAAAATCCCAGAAACTATTATGACATGGTTTTTCTGACCTGCCAAACACCCAGAAAAAAAAAATTGCAAAGCTAAAACATCCAACATGATTCAATTGTCATTTTCCTTGGTGGGAGGTTAACCAAAAAAGCAGAGCCACTAATTCGTCTTAAATGGCTTCGGTTAAGTATACAACATTCATAATTATCTTCAATTCATGCAGTTGAAGAACCTTAGAAGAGACCAATCTCAACTTCATTCCCTTTATTATTAAAAGGTACAAATAGCGGCAACCCTACTGATCATCTTCTACGTGCAGCAGAACTCGGCCACGCTGGACTGCTCCAGCTGATGCTGTCCTTGAGCAGGTACCTGGCCGGTAGCTTGTTCCTCTGGCATATTCATTGCTTGAGTTACGGCATTCATGACGATGAGTCCCAGAGGGATCAAATACATCCACTGATATGCATCAAATTCAATCATATCACACTGAGAAATTTTGGTGTAGGCTAACTAAACAATTAGATTATATTAATTTGACTACTCACATATTTAGCCCAAAAAGACCTTTCAGGTGGCTGCACAACTTCACCTTCAGCATTCTCCCCACCGAGAATTTCTTCAGTAAATACAGGAGCCCTACGTGATAGATTAAAACATGGTTAATGCCATGGCAACTTAAATTGCTACACCATAAATAACACAAAGATGTTACTTTAGGATAACTTTGTAACGTATTATTTTCTCCCTCAAATTACACTTAAAGTAACAAGTAATTTTGATAGTATAAAACGACGGAATTGATGTTAAGGAAACATAAATAGACTAATGATCTCACTTAGACTCCAAGTCTTAACACTGCAGAAAACCAACAAGATGGAGAGATGCAAATAAAATAATCCTGTTTTCAAGGAATAATAATTCTGTTTGATAGGAAAAGTGAGTGCAGCATACCTTGGTGCTGCTCACTGTTCTTTAAAACTGTATGTGAATTGAAGGACCACTTTGCAGGCTGAAATATAAAGATTGCAAAATACAAAATAAAGGGGATTATTAATCAAATATTGCTAAGAGAAAGAATCTCCTTTATCATATGTTCAAATTGACCTTCCATTTTATGAAACAACTTGATGCAAGTCTACGAAACTCGAACATACATCTGAAGTTACAGTTCACATCAAGTTGCGAGTTTAGATGGTTGATCAGCATACATACAGGTGCCAAATGTAACCTCTCCTTGGTAAATTGGAATATGTTGATGACGGAAACAAGTTGTCATCTCAAATAGCAACTAAAAGAAACTTCATAAAATCAACTCCATTAGTTAACTAGATTCTGTTGTCTTTGTACATCATTTTAACCATTCACTTTTCTTCCTCAATACCATCAATTTTTCTTTCAGTATTATCACCACTAATCTCTCTCCCCCACTTACTTTCGCTTAGCGATATAATTTTTTCTAAGTAAAAATAAAGATTCAAACCTTGTTTCCTATGTTAACTAACACAAAAACAAAGAAACCAATCACACAAAAGGAGTTATTACTTATGTTGATTCGACACTTTATTTTTATCAAGGTACCCTGTTTCCAACACTTGTGTTTGACACACAGATACGACCTTCAAAATTCCTCCAAGTATATGGGAATACTCAATAAAATACAATTATCCATGTCAGACGCATACTCATATCTAGCACTCAGCCCAAGTCCATGGAACTAAGTAATAACCAATTAAGGGCTTTCACCAATTGTGAAGAAAAAATTGAGAG